GAATCTCACGTTAAACACTAGTGTATGAGCATGTTAGAAGTCCAGACGGTAGAACGTGTGTTTACATTGGTGAAGGTTTATGCACATGCTTGCTGAAGTGTACCTGGGCGTATACACTTTTGCATGTGAAGTGTGTTTGCCAAGGGGGAGGCCTTCTTGCCCTTTAATTATTTATGACCAAAGTCCCTACATGTCCATTCGCGAGCCTCTCAGGCCATGGATCCTGATCCATTATTGAGAGGCTGTTCCCGAAGAAAACCTAAGAGAAAAGGTCAATACGCCCGCTTTATGGGCAACTCCACTAATCGACTCTTCAGTATTTCTTAGCAGCTAATTATGTCTTTCCATTAATGTAGTGCACATGAAGGTGACAACGTGCCTTTAAAAATTAATAAACATAAATTAACAGTTATGGATGAAAATACGCTGCTAGAAACTTTACTTCAAAAACAGGATATTCTTGTTACAGAAGGACGGCAGAAAAACAAGAAGTCTAAAGGTAATGGCAAGAGAGTGCATTTCTGTAAACACAAGCTTTGAGGTAATTTGGTGTGTTCAGTTTATTAGTCACAGAAAGTACAGTAAATACTGAAAAATTCAGCAAGGAGCGAGACAAAGTCCACTGTGTGGTAACCGAAATAACACAGGATCAACAGGCTAAAGCCAGGGTCTCGTGTGCGTTTGAGATAAAGCAAGGGACAATAAAGCTAATAAACAGGGTTTAATGGCACTGGAGGCCATTTTAAAAGTGGCTTTGGTTAAGTCTGTCAAGGTAAGAAGAAGAATCTCCATAAAAACTAGACAGACCAGCCCCTCTACTAGAGAAAATGCCTGGAGAGGATGGCAGAAGTTAATGGCGACGAAAAATGAGATGGAAACTTGGAAGTTTAAAGCCGAGTACGGTCTCTCTGGTGAGTTTCCCGCTTTGAATATGTCACTTTAAAGCTTTTTTTAAAAAAAACAAAAGCAACTGCATATTGATATGGTAGCTCAACAAACACAGCAACATAGATGAGGTAAGAAGAGAAAGAATAAACCGTCAGTTAAATCGGAACTGATGGGAGAGCATCTGGGTTTTCCCAGAGACCTTGAAAAACATACAAAGTGCACTTAGTAAAGCTATCGTATTCAACGTTTCTAAAAATCCTCTGATGTTAAACTTACAGATACTAAAAACATTATGTAGTTAAAAAAATTTTTAAAAAAGGAGTAGCGGCAAGTGGTTTAATAGAAGAAATGTAACAATGGTTGAGAGGAAAACGACGGCTGAGAGGAGAGATCTGTGGGTTACGTGCACATTTCTGCTGTGTGTTTGTTTGTTTATTTAAAATATACATAAAATGTCAGCAGGATGGCAACACCCAGGGAAAGCAAGCTCGAACAGATACAGTAGCCTCTGCGCTGCACAGGCAGGGACAGAGTCCTGTCTGTGTCCACAGAAACACACACACACACACGCGCACACACAGGGTTCACCTCCACTGGTGTGCAGTCATTCAGTGAGACCTCAAGAACAAATGGGCGAAAAAAAATGTAATTAAAAAAATAAAAAATAAAACACCCATAGTGACTTACTTGAACTAAAAACCCTACAGACTGTCAGGTATTACCGAGCAGATAATTAATGCCATAGACCATTTTGTTTTTGAGTTTATAAAAAAAATTTAAAAAAAAGGAAACGAAACAAAGAAAAGAAATTCGATTCTCCCACAAATAAGGTCAGCTTCACAGATTGTGGTTAATGGCTATGTCTTGTGTCTTAGTTTTGATTCTCAGCTTGAAATCCTCAAAACAAAAAAACAAAACAAAAAAAAAGGGGGGGTCCTGCCTCCACCTCAGTCTCACACACTGAGCAAATTCTTTGAAAAAGGTGAGGGCAGGCCCAGAAATAAATACATTCATCACTGACAATAGACATTTGATAAAAAAAAAAAAAAAGAGAACACTGTCAATAAGTGTTTGCACCAACTTTGTTTGAGGCTCAGCCAGCCAGAGTTTTGTGCTGCTTTTACCCACAGAACACAGGCAGCTTTAAAAAAAAAAAAGTTTCAAAACAACATCATAAAAGCAGAAAACTGACAATAACATTCACAGTTAAGACTACCAGATAGGCTTGTTTACATGCAGTGAACAAATCAAAGCTACATTCTCCAGGTTTCAAGAACCGCCAGCATAAGAGATGTACCACGTCGGACTACGAAAACAACCCAAAATATTCAAGCATCATTCACCCACCCCTACATATTAAGAGACCCAAGCAGCAGAGGTATTCCTCGAGTGTATTTGGGTAAACAAAGACACAAACATTGAGCTAAAGACCCTGACTAACAATGCCTTTTGATTAATACGTCAAGGATGCACAGCCCACCCCCCCACACACACTTTCTGTGGTCCCATCTGAAGACAGGCCAGAGGGCAGGAGGATTGGGGCGCAGGGTCATCCCAAAGCCAGCTGGCAGGGAGGGGAGGGGTGGGGAGTGCCCCTAAAACCACACACCCTCCCCTTAATTGAATATGCAGTAGTTCACTCCATGTTTAACGCTATGCTTTTGTTTTGGCAGCAACCTCTGTGGAAAAGCATCTTTCACAAAAAAAAAAAGAAAAGAAAAAATGATAACGCACACAAAACCATCTCCCTAACTGGCCGAGCCTCGACTGAGGTCTGTAAAACTGTAAAAGTTTATGTAAACAATGAGATAAATACATATGTTTCTTTTTAGAGCCACACATGGTTCCATAATCATTCAAATGTGCTTTGGTTTAAAAAATAGTTTGTGGATTTGGGTATGAGCTTTTTTTTTTTTCCTCCTTTTCTTCTTAGTTCTTTGTACAACGTTGCAACTATTTCTGAACATAGTGTGTTACTAACTAAAACGTAGACTTGTTTTGAGCTGCCTCACCTTTGTCAAGGCTTTTTGTGTTAGTTGAAAAAAAGTAGCCCCCTGTTTGTCTTAAATATGAAACTAGTGTTTTGCTTTTCCCGTGATCAAAATACAGAGAAATTGATACAATGCTATATTTTACAAATGTAGCTGAGAGTCTGCATTCACAGATGCAGAACAATCCCTGAAGTATTTGAATAGTAGTAGTAATAGTAGTAATAATAGTAGTAATAGTAGCATGGTCACAGTTTGGAGTTCGTAGTATGTTTTTTTTCCTTTTTTTTTTTCTTCGTTACGTCGAACAAGCAAGCATTCAAATGCAGCTGCAAAAACCTTTGCAGAGATGGCTAGAGATCGTGTAGTACAAAACACCTTTTGCATTACAGACATTACACTGTACTGCAGTAAGGGCTGCGAGTACAACAACGTTTGAAGGCAATGCATTGTGGACTCCCTCTTCGGCTAGAAGAGGTCACAAGCAACAATGAATCAGGCGATAAATAACACGTTTGTGGATCTAGGAATGGGTGGGTGGGGATTGAGGAGTGTGAAAAATTCAGATGTACCATGCAATCACTAAACAGCAACTGCCTAACAACAAGACACCAACATCCAACATAAGTAACAACTCTGGGAGCCCAGGACGCAGGTACCTTAAAACGGTAGTGATGTTTGTGTAACTGTAGCTGCATCCCTATAATAATCAAACATTTCACAGACCATAACATGAGGACGAAAAGGAATTACAAAAAAAATAATCATGAGGACAGGTAAACCAACATAACAGAGGAATGCCTATAAAAAAAATAAACTTGTAGTGAGGGTTCATACTCTACAGTGTAACTGTTAAGAGGCGATACACTGGACAGGTTTGAGTGAAACAGAAGAGACAACGGGGGGCCATTCTCAACTTGTCATTGTTTACAATGAGGTAAAGCTTGAAATAGTTTAAAAATAAGTTAAAACTAATTCTGTGATATAATGGAATACAATCAGGAACAAAAGGATGCCGCAAGAGACCGGCGAGTTGTCCAGCTGTCCAGTGCATCTCTGCTTCTCCCTTCTTATTACAAGTTTTCACATGTCTGGCTCACAAAAAAACAAAAACAAAACCAAAACAATTAAGTTGAACTTCACATTAAAATTCTGATTATATTTTCTATCTTTTTTTTTCCTTTTTCTTTTTTGGTCTGAACAGAACACATAAAATGTCATCAAGTCCTGTTTTTAAAGTCAGGGAATATAAAGTGATAAGGACTCTGGATATAAATGAAAAGGAAACAGGAAACATGTTTAGGGAACATGTTTTTGTTTGTTTTTTTAAAATAAACTTTACCAATTTTTTTTGGGTGGTAAAGTTTACATCATACCAGCCCACCAATCAGCACAAGCTTTCCTTGCAATTCACAAGAACCTTTGTCAGTCATTGGCCAAAAACTCCATCAAAAGAGTGGATTTCTTTCTCTGGACTTTGAATATAATTCATAATTTGTTTTATACAGCAAAAAGAAATCAAAAGTGAAATAATTTAGTATGCTATATATCTTAAGTACATCTTTTTAAAAACTTTGGTTATGAACTTGTCTAGCAAAGTTTGTTAGTTAGCTCTGTTCTCCTCAACATTCATAAGATCTTTGGAAATCTATATCTCTAAACTAACCAACTAAGCACTATTTGCTCCAGGCTGGAAGCTACAGTACACTTTGAAGTGGAGCCACAATGAACAGGGCACCCAAAAGCTATATCTGACAAGTACAAACAACAGCTAAAAACAATATTAATGTGTAAAATCTATAAGCATTAAAAACCTGTGTTGAGAGATGGGCAGGTTAAAGCATTAGATAAAAACTTACCATAATCTACACACTTTTTACAATTAATTACATAGGAACTTTCAACTAATCAACATAGAGTTTGTAAGAGTAATCAGAGGTAGAGAGGTCACAAGCCTACATAAATAGACTTTTCTTTTTTCTGAGGGGAGGAAAGCTATACAGACAGAAAAATAAACGTACCCACTGAACATAACGCTCAGTCTAAAAACACCCTCTTCACCTTATCCCCACGAAACCACCCGCCCCGCCCTGCCCTGCCCCAACCCAACCCAGATCCCTCCCCTCCACAAGAAAAATCCCAAGACCTTCCAGTTTAAACATTCACTGAAACATGACAAGTTGTTTAAGCAAAAAACAAGTACCTCAAGGGTTCATCTGTCCAACCAGGTTTCATTCCTGGGAGCACTAGCAGGCAAATCTGAAAACAATGAAAATCTTCTCTATATTAATGCAAACAGCTGTAGAGAAGACTGTTTGTCATCTGTGAAACAAAAACTTAAATCAGTGTCCTCCAACGTGAACCTTCTTTCAAGAACTTCCAGTTAAAGCATGGAGATGGTCCCAAACCCAGTTACCCCTCCTCTTAAGCCCCTTTCAGACATGTTTTCTGAGTGCCTCAATGAGCACACCAAGTTACTTCTCTGTAAAAGTAGTGACAGAATTCGCATTAGATACCGTTTATGTGTAGCTTTTAACACAGCAGAAGTCTGAATGCATGCAGAGATGAGATTGTGACTGAACACCTGCGTAGATGTGTGTTGCTTAGCCCATAAGAGAAACAAAAACATGCACATAACTGCATTTTATCCCACCAGATCTGCTTCTTTGTGGTAGTAAGATGAAAACAATTACTCTCTAATACAGTTTGCTGTTCCCAATCCTGAGGAGAGATCTTTCTGGGGGAAAGCGGTGGCGTACAGTCCATGCAGCAGCACTATTTAGCAGGCACACTTAGTGTCAGTGGCGAAGAGAACTACAAAAACAAAATTAGCAAAGAAAAAAAAAATTACTTTTCTGTGTTTGTTTTTGTTTCTAAGATTTTACATTGTGTTCCTGAGTGCACTGCTTTCCTTTACAGTAGTACAGTTTTGCTCCTTGCCAAAAGTTCAAGCTCTTTATTTCTAATGGCCCACCACCTCAACTCTTTTCAAGCTTTATTTTTTACAATTATATTCAGATTTAAATGAAATCCTCTGTAAAAAACTGTGTATAGTTAGATTTATTTTACACAATCATTTGGAAATAACTGTGCAAAATAAATACATTTTACAATACTGACCAAAATAATCATGATTGGGATTTTTGCCAAATCTGGAAACTCTCTTCATCACCGTCACATCTATGACAGTATAACTGTGAGAAATATGGATGTAGAAGTCATCATGTCTGTATGCCAGAAGGCCATCACTTTAACAGATTGGGGTAGCGAGCAATGTTACATATCCCATGTCTGAAAAGGGCTTTATATACAGATACCCATCACCAACCAACACAACGAAGCATATAAAGCTGTCAGGGTTAAAATAATCTTTTTGCTGAATTATTGCCAGTATTGTTTGCACGTGTGTTTTTTTTTTTGGTCAAAGTAGCACTGGAGTACACAGGGGACTCTTGAGTCATCTGAAAACTTCAGAGACTCAAAGGTAGAAGAGAGAAAAGCTGCTGAAGGGTATGAAGTGAGAGGCTTGACATTATATCAGTACCCACATTCACATTTAACAGACCAGACGTTATGCAACTCCACCATTGCTTTGTGACTTTGGAGAGAGACAGCAGTTAACTGTCCCTTTAGAGCTCCTGAGAGGTGAGCAACTTAATCCTTGCATCAACAAGATCCCACCATCACCAAGAGCACACTGTGGCTAACTGCTACATCGTTCACTTAGCCAGGGCATCATAAACTGGATTAATATGTAGAACTATGTGTATGTGTGCATTTCTTTGCTTTTGCGATGGAGAAAAGGTTTGTATTTTCTATTCCCAGAGTTCTTTGGCTTGATGCATTTCTAAGAGGGTGAGGTGTGCATTCTCAGGTGACTGATGAGGTTGCGCTGCTGGGTAAACTTCCCCCCACATAGCTGGCATTCATACGGCTTCTCTCCAGAGTGGACACGCATGTGCTCTGTCAGACGGTACTGGCGTGTAAAGCGCATGCCACACTCTTCACATGCAAATGGCTTCAGGCCGAGGTGGCTACGCATGTGGCGTGTCATGGTTCCCCTCTGGGTGAACATTTTGCCACAGATGTTGCAGGGGAAAGGCCTGGTCAGCCAGTGGCTCTTTTCATGTTGTCTCAGGGTTGCTGGGTCTTTGTAGCTCTTACTGCACACTGTACACTTGAACGGGCGCGTTTCAGAACCAAAGGTAGAAGGACCTACAGTGGCAGAAAGGTCCTCGGCCTCCTCCTCATCTTCCTCTTTCACAAAGGTTCCTCCCTCCTCTTTGATGTAGAGCTCATCCTCAGTATGCGTCTCCACATGAGCATTGAGCTGTTCAGAACTGGGGAAACCCTTACCACAGGGAATACACACATAGAGGTTGTCTCCAAATGCTGGCTCAAAACCTTCCTGCCTGTACACATAGTTGGCGCTGTGGTGCCCCCCTGCTGTTCCCCCTCCACCTCCTGCAGTCTCTCCATCACTCTGACCACTTTCCTCACTGTGATCCTGGCCATTCTCTCCTCCTTCTTCTTCGTCCTTACACTGGAAGGACTGGTCAGATGTGAAGCTGTTCCCACTGCCACCTCCAATCCCAGATGAGCGGCTATCTTTAGGACCAACAATTACCCCATTAACCAGGGGCCTGCTGTGATCTTCAGACTTCAACCCTGAAGCCTCTTTCTTAGGCCATTCATTCTTCCGAGCTCCCTGTCGGGACTTTTTCTGTGGTGGAGGACCCTCTGGCTGGTTTTGGATTTCCTCTGAGGTTTTAGAGGAGGAGTTGAGGTCCATGGTCTCTGAGATGCAGGTGTCTGCACCCGGCAAGGTGGTAGACGAATCATCCAGTGAGGCACTGTTGGTTGTCGATACTGAGGCAGATTGAGGGGATCCTTGGGAGTTGCTGTGTGGGCTGAGGGCATCTGTGGCTGTGCCCGCAGAGGGTGGACTCTTCTTGGAGAGGTCTAGACCAAGGTCCGGTTCCCCCGCACTTCCTCCGCTGCTGAGGTTACCATTACTGCTTCCATTCCCCCCATTCCCGTTCTTCCCAGAGGTGCCAACAAACATCTCGTCATCTGAGAGCTTGTCCCGAAGGCCTTCATCTGGCTGTGGCTGGTCGGCATCGGAAGGGGTTGGAGGATAGTGGTTATTGTGGCCAGTAGGGGTAGAAGAGGAAAGACGCTGGTTGTTTAGACGTAAGCGGCTAAGGGGACCTGGAGTGGAGGGTTTACCTGGCAGGGGTTTCCCACCATTGCGCTTAAGCTTCTTTCTGCACAGAGCAGCAAGGTCGTGGAGCTGGAGGTAGCTGGCTGCAGTTAAGAGGGCACTGAAGTTCTGCTCATTGCTCTGGTCTGATGAGGACAGTAGCTTCCCAGTGTAGATGAAGTCAAGAACTTGTCTGAATACCGAGGGGTTAACCATCTCTGTGTCGAGGTTGATGAGGTTGTCATGGAGGACCAAAGATTTAAAGTAGATGCTGCTTGCCGCCAGGATGTTCTTGTGGGCACGGAAGAGTGCATTCTCCACCACAATGATAACATCACACAGGAAGCCCTTGGCTCTCTGTTGGTTGAGTTGCAGCAGCAGTTGTTTGGCATGATTTGGCAGTTCCATTTCCTCCGTCCTTCTTTCCCCTCTCTCTCGTCTCTCTCTTCCTACACGTGCACCACCTCAAGCTGAAAGAAACAAAACAAGGAGGTGATCAGTATTACATTAAAAAAATTGTTTTATTACACTGAAACCACATAAAAATAATGGGTTATTGAGAAAAGAAATAAAGAGTGGTGTTTCTTAACAGATAACGCAAAAATCAATAGTTACTGGCGTTGGTAGTGGATGAGGGGCAAAAAAAGGCTGAATAAGCAATGTGCTGTAAAGGCTTAGCTAACGCTTCTCTAATGGCAAAATTGAGCTCACTGGGAAATTAGCAAACTGTTAGCAGTGCATGCCATATAATCACACAGCTGCTTAGAAACTGGAACCTTCTCTGTGTCCGACTTTTCTTTTTAAACAAACTGTAACCCTACATGGATCAAGTTCTGACTGTACACATTACCACTTATCTGGCACAAAGGCCGTAGGGGTGGAGGACAAGAATGGGTAAAGTAACTTCTTTCCTAAGTTGCCTCATTCCACTATCTCACCAGAGTAACTAGTTTCGATGGGATGCCCTCTCTGGAAACTCAGCTAACTCTAGTCTCCATTAGGTCATGGTAATGTCAGCCCTGCCCTATTGTCTGGGGGTTGGAGATCTGTGGCAGAGCAGGGCTGGGGGGTGGGGGGGGGGATTAGGTGACACCTGAGCAGGAAAAACTACACAGGAGCTTGGGCAGGAGAGGTGGGGGAGGGTGTGGCCCCAAGGCAAGGACAGCACCACTCGATCCTCCAGAGGGGCCCTTATTTATGGAAATAGGACGAGTGAATCCAATTCACTGCTAAACAACATACTGATGACCTAATGGTACACACCACAGTACTTCTATTTCTAGTTTTCTCTACAAACACACATTTTGTGTTAATGCAATAGATGCAAAACGTCTGAGGGCAATATCAGTGGTATGATTTGGTTGAGGCAGCAGTCTGTCCATGTTTAACGTTCCCTCAAAGCCACAGGCAAGCTTAGACAACACAAATTTTCAATAACCACAGCAGGGTATGCCATACTACAAGAGATTACAATCTAAGACAAAGACATGTTTAATTCAAGTCGAACACATGTAGAAATTGCCATTTTAAGTGCCAAGCAAGACCTTTGAAATCACATTTAAAAAACACCCAGCACCAAGGGTTGAAATGGATCTGCATGTTGTTTAGTGATTGCAGTGTGCACATCTCAAACAGTGGACGAATCAACATTTGAATTAAATTTTTTTTTTTTTTTTACTATAAATAAACAATAACATGGTTTAATTTGTGAAAAATCCTGACTCTAACTATGGGCAAAAATACCAGCTGATATCAATATTGTGCACAGATCACCAGATTAAAAAAAAACATTCTAGAGTTAAGACACCAGTAAAAGAGGAGACAATATTAATATTGATTCAATAATATGAATTGACCAAAACTAACTATATTAATGACATACCTAGTAACTATCGACCGAGGTAGTTACATTAGCTCTATAGTTTAACTTGAACTTATTCTAGGTTAATATTTATTAAGCATGATACCCTTAGATACCTTTTAGTAAAATTAAGGCACACATTATCAAAAAAAAAAAAAATCTGAATTTCTCTCCTTGTATGTACCATCTCCTTAACTTAACTTCAACAATCATACAGCTTCTGTATAATGCTGTAGGTATGAGATATGCACTAGCAGGAAAAACGGCAACGAACAGCTGAAAGCAACAAACTAAATATCAGGTACTCATAACGACACAGATTACTACTGGGATTTGACCTGGTCTTAGATCAAAGCAAAGCTTTTAAAGAATATTTCAGTTTGTAATAGATGTGAATTATCCTCAATTGTCCTCAAAACGCCATCAGGGCAAAAGCACAAGTTAAAATTCAAGTAACTGTATCTGTTTAAAATAGTTTTAACTGCACAGTAAGTAAGCACAACTAAGAAGTCCATCACAGCGTTAAACAAAGACACACATATCCTGGCGAAGGCCCTCCAGTATCCCTTCAAATACTACAGAGAAAAACAAAGTACCACTAAAGAAGATGGCACACTAGACGTAAGAGACTTGTTAAGGATGGTAATGACCACCCATTATTATAGTCAAAATTAAACACCATCAAAGAACAAGAAGGTTAAAATTTTAACCTGGTAAAGAGTGCTGAGTGTATCCGGTATGTAGCCAAGCTGACTCTGTCACAGACTAGCTGATACAATCAGCTGAAGTGATCATTACCCCCAGGTCCAGGCCTGGGCTTGCCTCCTCTGCTTTGACACTTCTACTCACGATCTTCTTCCCCTCCCCCGTTTCTCCTCTGTACCTCTCCTTTCTCTTTATCTTCCAGCCCTCACCAGCCTTTCACCGGGCATGCAGACACATCCCAGGAACAGCTCACTGTCCTGTCCCCAATGTAAATCATAATGAGCTATTCTGAAAAGCATAACCCAGATGTGTTAATCGTAGAACAAGCTAGGGGAGTTTACGGCACTCAGCCCTGCAGGCGGTAATGGAGAAGAGGGCTACTAGAGAAAGAAGGGCCTCTACTGTGATGCCAGCCAGGAAGCCATATATCAAGTCTCTCTCTTAACATACATACACACACACACACACACACACACACACACACGCACACCTCTGCAGGCTTTATGGGGGGATTCAAGAGGCTTTTCCAGCGGACCAACATAAAAGGGGGCTGGGCTCACAGTAGAGAAGCCAGTTCAGGAGAGAAAAAAAAAGAAAAGAAAAAAAAAGCCCTCCCCCATCACCCTCCACCTCTCATCCCTCGTTCTCTCCCTTTCCTCCCCTCCATCAGCCACCCAGCTACCCTCTCCCCCTGGCCCCTCCATTGCTGTGCTGTGCCGGCTGGATTCCAGGGAGCCGCTAATGGATTATGGCTGATCTATATGCAGCTAGGGTAGGACACGTGTAGGCCCGGCTCACCTTCCAACGATGCTGCCCAGGAAAAGAGGCATGATACCACAGGGGACAGAGAGGCCTGCGCCATGAATGTAGCTCCAAGTGTGACTGCATGGCACCCTTTCCACCTAGAAACATTTCAATACTACAAACCAGACTGTTGTTCCTGTTTAACTCCGCAGTTAAAGTCAGGGATGATGTATCAACTGACAAAAACAGCAAAAAAAATAATATTTCCAGCATGTCAAAAGACTAGTTTCTATGGATAACATTAGTAAGTTAGAAAGCAGTAAAGTCTGCAGGGTTCGATCACCATAGTTTTAAGCCCTACGCAAAAAGGCTGGTAGCTCATTGGAGAGAAAGCATGATAGCTGGTTTAGAAGGGCTGTAAGAAAGACTTCTCTCTCTGGCTGAACATCTTACAACATACCAACTAAATTCAGCCCAGGGAGGTTGTTGTCTTTGAGCACACACAGTGGATCAGCTTACCATTCCCTGCAGTGTAACCTCGTCAAAAACTATGACACAATGATAGGGGCAAACTCATCTTTAAAAAAAAAAAAAGAAGAAGAAGAAACAAAGCGCCGTGCTACTTATCCTCAACCTTGACTTGTGTCAGGAGCCTGACGATCAGGAGATGAGAAGTTTACACACAACTCACAAACACGGCAAGGCTCATGCACGCGTGTGCAGATTTTGGAGTGTAAAGTAGAACGAGTCGAAGAGCCCTGGGCACTGAATTAATGTCAACCTTTGAATTAAAACTGGTTACACCTGAAATTTGGATGATCAGGTTTGACTTTATTTACCACCCCTGCTGCTGCTTACAATTTTCCAGCGCATGTATAGATCCAACGGCAAGTCGGTGTTCATGTAGCAAAGGTGACAGAGAGCTTTGGGCTATGGCACTAATCTCCTGAACACAGAGTAAAAAAGCCAAGAGAAGGCAGAGGTGAGCCAAAGTCCTGTGGTGCAATAACAAAACACACCCTACTGCTGTGAAAGGTCATCTGCTAACAACCAATAGAAATCAGGATTGACCAGGATTTTACATGCAACTTTTGTCTAATTGGGGCTTCTTTCACAGAGATTCGTTTAAGCGAGAGATAGTACTGGGTTTGTAGAACTGCCATCACACAACATCAGAACCTGCATAAAAGGATCAGTGGTAGAGACAGATAGGTAGGAACGATTGAAGTAGACACAGAATGAGAGGCAATCAAGGACAGGAGCAAAAGGCCTCACTGTGTGTGTGTGTGTGTGCGCGCACACACACACACACACAGAGTATGCTGGTGGGCAGAGAGAGTGGGGGAGGGGTTGGGGGGGATGGTACAAAGCCAGTTTGAAATACAAACACCAAGCAACCACCTCTGAGCCATTTCAACATGGCTGACACTGCTGCATGGGTAAGGCTGGTCCATGCAGGACTCATGGGTACGGCAAGGACCAGCTGTGGAAGGACAGCTCACAATAAAATGAGATTAAAGTAAACAGTTAGTTTAAAAAAAAAAGAAAAAAAAAAACTAACCACTATGTATGCTCTTAACAGACATTACATGTGAGCTACATACGAAACACATTAAAGATTTATCCGGTTGCTCTAAACCATTTCTGACAATGAATTAAATTATTTTCTTTGCAGAGCTTTGCAGCAGGGCAGCTCACAGTATTTTATTACAGGTGATATGTAATGCTAGTTAGTTATGCAAATGAACATAATCATTTCCATTTAAGTCTCATTTGATTGGTTACAAAGACGCACGTTGTTTTGTTTTTCCATCCTGCTACACGGCCTTTACACTGCATTACTCTATCACGCACACACATTTAAAACCTCATTTAGAACATCTGTTAGGCATATACATGATCCAAAAAAATCAGGTCTCTCCTGTTTCCATAAAGTTTCAGAAATCACATTACAGCAAAGGCTCCACAAAACTCAACTTGGTTAGATTCAGAAAAAGCTTCAGATTTACACAATAAACAACGAAAAAAAAAAAAACCTCAAACCAAAAACCTTTTAAAAGTTAAAGTTTTAAAAAAAAAATCATTCACTTGTAGCAAGATCAAGTCTTTTAGGCAAGTTGGCAATGCAGGCATAAGACAGAATATAGAAGGTAAAGATGACATATGAAATTACTAGCTTCTGTCATTTCTTGAAATAGCCTGCCTATACTTGTAGGCTCAGTGGTAGATTTTTAAGTGCATCTAGTGCTGGATCCATTCTGGATGTAATCTTTTCAGAAAAGCTGCAGAGGACATATCCTGCTATTAGAAAAAACTCAATAGGTCAAATCGGTTCTGTCCTGTTTTTGGAACATTCAGTTTTTCAAAACTGCTGGACTGCTGGGTGAACAGGTGCATGATTATAGTAAGTATATGAACTACAGTACCCTGACAGTTTGGGTGAACACTTCCAGTGAGAGGTTCAGCAGTTCAGCAAGACAAACAAGTCCTGCCCACAGTGCAGTGGAATGACAAGAACCTCATTCTGTTTATCACCGATCAGAAAGCTGTGGCCACATGTGTACATCCTAAAACCTTACACAGCTATGCTGGCATTCAGACCATAGATTGTCGTGTAACACCAGGGAAAAGGAGGAGGAGAAGTTTGCTGGTTTTTTAAAAAAAATTAGATTAAATCGTTTTTTCCTCACCACATACCTTTAAAACGGGAAATGAATCAATTTATTCTGTGGTATGAATTATATCTGGAGGTAATGTTAGCTAATAAAACAACAGCAACCAGTGCCAGATGAATTTTTATTTTATAAACTGTCATCAACTCATTTAATGCTCAAGGCAATATTTTTCCAAAATGGTACAACGTAGTGATCAAAACAACATGCTTAAATAGACAGGATGATTTAGTAACTCTAGTTTTTCAGCTGTTTTGTAAACGTGGGGTGTAGATGCAAGTGCAAGACTAAAAATACAGCGCTAGAAGAAAAATGTCATGTTGAGTAGTTATACTATCATCTTAGTCAAAATCAGTCCCTTACAGTTACAAAGAAATAAACCACTTATATGCAGACTTTAAATCTCTCTTTTTAATCTGTGTTTTTGCATTTTAACTTGTACTAACAGGAGAAACATCAAGTTGAATAACAAACGAATGTCTCTATAAATATAAGAGAAATGTCTTATAAAAAAAAATCTCAAACTAGCTGAAGTATCTATTGGTTATGTCTAAATTTCTTTACATGCAGTATTAACTCATTTCTTTAACAGGAGGTAACACTTATTGTCTGCTAATCAGGTCTGTGAGTCGATCCCCAGTTTTGTGAGTGTGTGTGTCTGTATGCATTGGATCGAGTGCCATATGAATCTGTGTGAATGAGAGGCTATAGCTTATAATGGGAACGCTGCTGTGAGTGGTCAGAAACACCAGAAAAGTACTAGTTCATTTAGTATCTGGCAGTTGGAGGTAATGGAATTTAAGATGAGGCTATATGTAACAGTTTTCATTGCTGAAAAAGGACTTTGTTAAACTCTCATTTGAAACATGAAACCTGAATCTGCTTTATGCACTGAAAGAGTTCCAACTACCATTTCCTTCTGCTACCATGGATTTAATATGAATAACTTTGCATCTCTGCTGTGTCGTGAGTACCGTGTTCATCCAGAATGTCCTCGGGAAAAAACGAAATAAACACTGAGACCTTCACCAGCAATCCTGTTTAGTAACTGGTGCCTACATGCATCACAGTGCGTGCCCTCACTAAAAGCGCAGTAATCAGCCACTTCACTGACAACTGAACATATGATTGGTATGATAAAGTGACCTCTGTCTTGCGAGACTTCCTCAACAACCCCCAACCCACATGACCTGATATCTAATGCTTTGACTGAGGACATCGTGTTGGGCGAGTAAGAGATCTTGTATGGTCCAAGGTTTTACAGACCTGCCAGCCCCCCCCTCCTCCTTCAGCCGTTAAACACTGCGCAACCTTCTGGCTATCAGCACTACATTCCACATTCTTCTTCTTAAAGAACAACAACAACCCTGCCCCGAGGTGCTTTATCCACTGAACAAACCAAACAGCCTCTGAACAGGCAACCACCAAATAGAACAGACAGCTACATATAGATACAACAGCCCAGAACAATCTATAAGTCCCCATCCAACATGTCAGCACATATAGCCTAAGTAGCCTTCTTACTGTATTGCACTGCCCACACATGCTGCTGTAAGCCTGCATCCAAGACATTATGTGTGTGCTGAGAAAGGGAAAGGACAAGACCAACTGGCCGATCATGAGGCACACACACAGACCTCAAATTACCCTCCAGGCCACACTCTGCAGTCCATAGTAATCAATGAAACTAGTCACACTGACCACTTGACTTGTTCATTTTTTAATTTGTTTGACCCTTGCTACTTGATCTCTGACCTATAATGTTCATTTGACAAAAGCATCAAAAAGTACAGCGGTTACTGTACAATATTTTACAGGATTTACTGGAGAGACCAGCTTGCCCACATGATCCATTTTCAGCGTAAAACTTGATCAACTCTATAAAAGTAAAGTGATCAATAGTCTCACTCAGTTTCTTCAAGGTTTATGAGATGGACTGGTTTAAACATAATGGATTAAGCAGTTCGCTCATCAAAGCACTGTGCTTTTACTGCGCTGATATCATCAAGTGCTTCAGGCATAACAGCCAGGAGTCCCATTTCTCCTTTAGAGGCTTTTCCAAATTGGATTATAAAGTGCAATACACATTTGCATGTGTCCCGTTCTTAACAATACAGCTTTTAGGTGTATTGTTGAAAAAAAAAAAAACAAAAAAAAAAAACACCTAAGCTACCCCTCCAGCCAAATTTTGAGGTTGGCAGACAGAGCAGCTGAGCGCTACACCTATATGTTGGGCTGGGTGCAGTCTGCCAAAATAACATCTTGTAATCTTTTTATTACAGGCTGCAGTCCCCTGCAACTCTAACCAGAAAATGAAGCCATGAAAACAGTTGAATTTGATCTTACCTTTACTCTACTATCAAAGCAAGAGCTTGAAAAAATATAACAATGCCAACTTGAAATGAATTCACACCAACGATCGCAGAAACAAACAGTTAATGTGCAGCTGAGCTCCTGGAAATGTGTGCAAAATAATTTTATCACGTGTAAAATGAAAGACATCAGTTTCCCTACCAACTGGCAAAATATGAGACAACTGACCATTTTTCTACAGCCGTTTTACAAGGGGGTAAGTACATTTCGTCAACTGTTAATTAAAGTGGAAATGCTTCCACAGAACTACACTTTGGTTAACAGCAGCCAGTCGAGAAAACGCACATTACTGGCATTCTTGTGCCTTCTTATCGCCATGCCCCTTGGTACTTTAACAGCAGTAATCATGAGGAGCAGAGCCGCCTTCACACCCGAGTACATGCATTGTTTTATTGGCTTACTTTGAGTTAATGATGAAGTAATTAACGTCCTGGTGTGATTTTTTTCTCCGCCTTTTTTTAAAAAAAATGAGGATGCTTATTTACTGACAGAAATCAACGACAGTGCAACAGTGTTTCTATAAAACAGTGCAGTTATAGGTCAGAGTGTAACGTGACACCAACGCTGTAGCCGATTACAAAGATGGTAGCTCTATAGCACCAGCGCACCTATAGTGCTTCTAAAACGTACACCCCACTGCATCGCTAGAATCGACGTTTAAAAAGCAACGTTTCAAACTAGGCTCTGCATGCATCCAACATTTTAATGGGTATATTTGCAAGACAATCCAGTTAAATGATTTTAATGAGCCTCACATAAGACCAAAGTGGCTTAACCTACATATAAACAATAAACAAGTGGTATCGATACCATCTACGAACATCTCAAAGACTATCAGCTGATTGCGCAAAAAAAACACATGCGTAAAATCCACAGAATCTGCCCCGATCCATTTACCACACAAAGTGCCATTCAATACCAGCTGAAGAGGTCTGCTTTGCTTAAGCGAAAGCGATTGATTTTAAAGAAAGATTAAACTCATCAGCTTGCAATTTTGTAAACAATTCACTGAACACGTTGGACTGCAAAACTGAGAAAATGAGGTGAAGAGTAGAAACGTTTTAGCGTTCACATACAACGTAGCGACGTGCCGTCCGTGGACCCTTTCTGTCCCCCTGATGTGCTTTGCCAACCTGGTAATTCTTTGGTACACATTCGTCCTGTGGGACATCTCTCGTAAGCTCACGACGCCTAAATAAAAATATAAAAGGAGCACACCGTTCGCAAACGGCGCATTGTAACAGGTTTGGGCAGAGACCGCGATATGTTCGAACAAATAATGTGGGAATCCTCGGCTTGCCAAGCAGGCTGGTAGAGCCCCTTTTTTGTTGGCACGCCGTGGAAAAAAACACCAGCGTAACAGCGAAAACCTCTGCGATTATTGCAGTGGGTGGTAGGAAACGATCCGATCAAAAAACGACAGAAATACGGCTCCGACACACATTTACACGCCGCGGCAAAAGGAAAGAATTCATTTTAAATACCTTCTTACATCGGTATGGTCGTTCTCAAGCGGTCTTTACCATCCTCTTGCTCATCTCACAGCCTTCGGGACGCCATGTTGCAAGCTTATGACGTTAGCTTCCTCACCCCTGACCCACATTTGAATAGAAACCAGCCCCAAAGTGCAGCAGTGAAAACATCCTAATGTGGGAGGGTTTTCACTTTTTACAGCAGGAATCTTACTAACTTTACCTGCAAGATGGCACAGAAGGAAACAAAGAGTGCTATTTTCTTTCATTGTGTTCAAACACCTTAAGGCCTTCTCCTCCGAGCAAAACGACCCAGTTATAGTCCTACCATCCTGCTGTGTGCAGGTAAATGCTCCGTAAGATACCTGACTTTAAAACTAATTTTTGTAATATGTGTAATCTATGAAGGGACTGTGACGGGGAAAGAAATAGAAGTAGGGAGTTAAGTGATGTGCAATTTTAGAATCGATTTACTGAGACTTGAGGGGTATTTTTGTATGTGGTATCAGGGATTGTACACGAAAAGCTGTCGTATGTTTTAAAGCGGACTGTGGAGTGTATCCTCTTTTATCTGCAAAGGCCTTCACTTCTAAAATATGCCAGTTCAGTGCGCAATGCACTGGTGATAATACATACCACAACCACCACAGAAAACAGCATTAGACTTGATAAATCTCTTTATCAGCTGGACTTAAGACGGCTGCATTGCCTTCAAAACCTCAAGCCTCAGTATCTAAATAATGATAAGGGGAACCCATTGACTTTCTGTCTATTTTTCATATTTTTAAATAAAGACAACGTAGCTTAAATTTGTGCAAATACCTGTTTTTGCAGTTATCTTAATTCATTTATTTATTGTTTTGTTTAATGGGACTGTGATGCCTGGTGACAGAACTGGCTTAATGTTTTTAAAAAATATATATACGAAAGCAAGTGAAAAGCAGAAAGAGAGGTTCAGAAACTGGACCAGATGTGCGGAAGTGTTGCGATACGCAGGCTCCTCCTCTTAGCAAAGAGAACCAGGCTTCTTATTGCTTCACTGATAGATTTCATTGAAACACGACTTATTCAGAATAGTTGAAGAGTATGCAGATGTTAATAATGAAAATCTTAAAAACGCATTAGCTGCAAGGGGTTGGATCCTCTCGGAATCATTCGCCGTTTCCCAAGTAAAACCTTTTATGTTTTGTGCTTACATTGTGCCGGTCACATTCCGTGGAAGTCGCCGTTATGGCGGCGTGCCAAAGGCCACTTCTGACACTGTGTGGTTGCCGCGGAAACTGCATACTCAGCGCGAGGGGTTACGTAATCAAGGTGCTCTTAGGTGCTCCACGTAAACACAGGCAAGAAAACACAGGAAGATTCCCAGCAAATGTATGTGTGTGAAAACTGTTTAAAATCTGCTAGAACTCTTCTATCCCAGCCTACGTTCACTGGAAATGTACATAAGAAATCATTTATCAGGAGGACTACAGTTTGTGTTATGCGGTGTTGGATCGTTTGTCCAGCTATGTTTGTAATTTAAGAAATGTAGAAATTACTCATTATTGTTTGAAAATTAAATTAAAACTTTGTTCATAATTTAAATAAACTTACAAGATTCTGCCACACTTTACTTTGTAATTGTTTATTCAGTTGGGCTATTAAATAAAGAAAACTAGAGTCGAAACACGTCCATTTTCATTGTGAAATCCATGATAAAACAACATCTTCCAAGAACGTGTCGCATTTTACAGTTGATTTCCATTCATAATGGAGAAAATAATAATTTTTTAACAGTTTGCCTGCGGTGGCATGTTGACATCCATCCATTTAGAAATGATCCAACTCTAAGGAGGGACTCGGTGTACAGAAGGACTAAAATTTACTTGTTATTAACAGAGGAGCTAGAAATTATTTTTTTTTTACTCTATAAACATGATGAGGACTTTCAATCAAGAGCCAACAAGAAGAAGAAAAAACATGTCTAAAACATAAAATGTCACAGTTCATACATTTATACCAGTAAGCCCTGAAAAGTGATAGATAATTAGAGGAGCATTCAAAGTAACGGCTTACATATTGACAGCAAACAACAATTCAAATAAAACTGGTTTTATGTGCATCCTTTCTGGCCTCAGGCGTGAGCCCTATCGCGAAAAGCATATTAGAATGGCACTGTATAATTTCTTAATGAGCTGACTCGTGAAACACAACCGGCCTCTCACCTTTTCCCACGGCAGGGTCTCCACACTTTGGCGAGCAGCGTTGCTCTGAGCGCAGAGCACCCTCTAATGTACAGAATGGGGGTCAGGGCAGCATTAACTCGGGGCAAAATGCGAATAGGGTCAGTGCCCTCATTTTTAAAGGTATAACAGGTCGTGCCAATGAAATTACAAATGATAATATGACAAAATATAGGAAGCCAAGTCCCCAAGAAGAACACCACAACCACCAGTATGAGATACACCGACGAACGCTTGCTGTCTCTCTCCTCGGAGGGCTGCTCCCTCTCCAGCTGAAACCTGGCAATGATGAACAATCGGATATTGAGCACTATCATTATGATAACTAGGAATATGTTCGCGACAAAAGTGCCAAAGCCTGTGACCTGTTTGGCAACACCGACAGTGACCAGGTTCTTCACAGCGACGATTAAGAAAGCGTAGGCCCAGTAGGTAACGATGACCATCACGGTCCTGTTTCGGGTCACGCGCTGGGAGTATTTAAAGGGGGACGAGATGGCGTGGTATCTGTCCGCCTGCGCGGCCAGGATAGCCATGAAAGACAGTCCTAGAAATGTGGGAACAATGTAAAAGGTTTTCGTGGGGGAGTCATAGGCATCCCTCACATCGAGAACACCAACATAATAATAAGACACTCCCGTACAAATGTCACTGAGGCAAGTGCTCAGCATGTACATGAAGCGGTTCTCGCTGCGTAAAGCTGTGTTCAGCAGGATGGAGAGAAACACAGACACGTTGAGGAAAATGATGGTTGCAGCCAGGAAAACACTGAAAAGGAACATCAACACGTTGCCAAAGTTCGTGAGGGGCAGCACAAGAGTCAAAGGGCGGCTGGTGTTTCTCATCAGGGCGGAGAAGACGTGGGTGCAAAAATAATAATAATAATCAGGCTTTCATCGCATGACAAATGCTGGCAGTATTGCAGCTGTGCCCGAACAGCACAGTGGGGTTACTTCAAGCCCGATTTATGTAGCAAGCACAGTCAGTCTAAGAGGAAGACGTCAACCTGAGTGACTTCAACTCCCAAGGAGAGCAAGCCCACAAGGTTCAACAAGGTTAACACTAATGGGCCTAACAATAGTGTTAACTTCGATCGATCGATCGATGGATCGATAGATAGATAGATAGATCGATAGATAGATAGATATTAAAGGTTATGTAAAAGAGAAATAAATAATCACATTTAGCAAACCACCCTTATATATATATATATATATATATATATATACACACAGCACAGCTGATGTATGGCCTTTTTGTATTTCCTGAGTGCAACTTTAAGATCAGAGAGGTTTTTAAAAAAAACTAGTAGTGCGTCCAGTAAATATTTAGTGATATAATTCTTTACTGGAACTTCAGCTGTAGTTGTAAATTTGTCTGTAAATCTACGTCTGTTTCTTTAGGTTTATATTCCAGGGCACAGAACAGAAATTAGAAAGCAACAGAGTGTACTCTTCCAATGTTAAATCTTCTGCTTTGCAACCACGGGTCAACCGGGGGAAAAAAATGACATATATTTTTAAAATTGTTAGTTTTAATAAAAATAATCTCTCTTGCTCTTATCTCAGCTACAACTCTCTAACGAAAGGCCCTAAAAGCACATTCCTGCTTACTTATCAGTACATCTGAAACAAACACATTGATAAGAACCCAAACTGATGTTTTAAAGATTACCTTACCAGCTGATGGTTTCAAAGAAAAGTGTCGTGGTTTGAAGGTTAATACAGCAACATGTTTATTGCTCCCCCTTGTGGCTAAAAGTCCGATATTACAGGCTGGTGTTTCTTGGTCGGATGATGCAGCCGCAGACGACAGACGTCATAGGCCTATGCCTTCATAAAGACTAAAAGTTAGCAAATAATTAAAAATAAAAACAAATAAAAACAAATAAAAACAGATTTTATGTAGGGAGACCGGGGATAGTTGTAACGTGGGTCAGTTGTAGCACTTCCAATTTCTGCAATCAGGGCTAAGTTTCAGATGATGTGATTTATCCTGTACATGCCCAATTCAGTTCTTCTATCACATGTGAAAAATTAGCACATTTTGGCAAACAAAAACAATTTAAGAAGAAAGAAAGTAATTTGCATGCCAAAAAGTAAGGTTTTTTGTTGTTGTTTTTTTTTTTTTTTTACTTTATTTCCATTTCTAATAGCATTATCTGCTTTGCAGTTAAACTCGTCAAACATAAATTATGTTATTTGAATGTCTATGGGGATATATTCTGTGTAGGTCTTTAGTGCTAATGTTTTAGCCGTTGGCTCTAATGTTTGCTAGGTCATAGCTATAGGAGTCTGGGTCAGTTGTAACAATAATGCAAATGTTACAACTTACCACACTATTATTTTAACTTAATAAACAAGTTGGGGCAATGACATCAGCAGAGAGAGGTTCACTGGTCATTTTGTATATGTGTTGCCATAATAATAATGCCATTGGCAACACAATTCCTCCAATGTTTGTGTTCTGACGCATACGTTATGCAGACCACTTTTTCAGAGATGGGCCAGTAGGAAGTATTGGTAGTGGAAACAAATCAAGATGGGTGCAAGAAATAGACTTCCTGATTTTTCTGAAGCACTTTTCAAACCACACCAAGGTCAGCCATGAAAAAAAAGTAATTGGACATCATGGACATCGCAGTGGAATTGCGATGCTGGTGCACAACTACATTTTTTCAGCTTCACTGTTATGTTCAAAAGTTGGTGCAAGAGTTGTAGGTTACAATGCCCACTGAGCCAATGAGGCCAAACTCAAGAAAGACCAACCAAAATTTATGAGATATTCAGTTTCTGAAAATTCCATAATTAGTCTTTTTTGGGGGGTTGGAATAGCAAACACACATAGCTACGTAAATAGTTCTAAGTGCATGATTGTGTTGAATAAAAAAGATTACATGTTAAAATTTTGTCAGCATCCTTATTTCATTGTGTTACATTTCACCCCAGGATATGTTACAACTAACCCAGACTATGGGGTTAACATTTCACTCTTTGTGTTTGAGACCATACCATGCAATGAGTAATTGTGCTGCAGAGAAAATAGCTGCACTATTTAATAGCAGAGACATGTAAATACTTTGCATTACATTTTGAATCCACTACCTTAAAAGAGCTCCAAGCTACAGACAGAAATATTAAAAATGTTACAACTATCCCGGGTCTCCCCTAAACTCCAACTTTTAAAAGTCTGGATTAAAAGCAATTACAAAGTTTCTTCCAGTTTTTGCGTCCATGTTGTACTCTATAAACTAGGAGTATTGTTTTCTCGCTAGTCAAAACGTCTGGGTTAATTGCAGTGAAAAGCACGTAACAAATCTCCAGGGGCGCCCAACAGATGACCGTTGGAGGCCCCTGTAGTGTGCCAGCATGGAGTAGGCAAATATAAGAATAACATACAGTATTTCTGACAGATTGAACAAAATTTACCAGGCCACATTTGAACACCAGGTAGTGCTTTTTCTATTGTCGAAGCCACAGACTACAAACTATAAGTCCCTGCTAGTGTGTTATTAAAACGGCGATAACTGTCCAGGGTACTCAGGATTTCATTATCATTATAAGCACCGGAGCTTTACATGATTCTTTCGGGAGCTGAGTTTATTGAACACTGGCAGCATGTGGGGGGTGGAAGTCGTGGGCAAGAGAAGTGTGCCCGTTCTTTAACAACTGCATATAATTAGTAGATATCAGAGAGAAGGATGTATATTTTTTGTCGCATAAACTCTTCCTAACCTGAGACTGAATCTGTGAGACTTCATTTATAACTTTAAGCCCACACTACTGTGGCGACTCATTCTCCATCTATAACTTATCTTGTGAGAGTGGAGGCATTATCAGGATATGCATCTATGTAACTGTACTGTACTTAAGTCTACTTTTTATAGTGCTTGAAGATGTTGGCAGGTGAAAATGGGCTCAGTTTGAACTGCGGGGAACCACCACTTTGCGGGGGTTTCCGTTTGCATGCCAAAAAAGTGATGTCTAATGTTTCTTTTTGCTGTTACACAAGCAGTAGTAAACAAGATTGACGAAGGTGTGCAAGATATGACTTGTTTTTAAGTATCTTTATGACGTCGTTGTACCCACTCAGTGTTCTACATTATAATCAGATTAGCCACTTAAAAGATTTTTGCAGAACAGACTGTGTTACGTCCCCACGATGAAGGTCTAGGAGTGTGTGTGGGGACTGGTAACAAATGGGTCCAGAACAGAATGAAAGGAGAACAGACAGAGGTGTTTAGTAAATAAAATCGTTTTTATTATAGATAAACTTAACGTAAAGAGCCAGCAACGCCGTTTTACCAATAACACTAGAAAAAGAAAAATGTTGCAACACCAAAGAACACAACAACCAAACAAAAAACTCCACACCACGAGGAGGCACTTCCAGGGGCCCACAAGCTCACCCTGTCACTAGCAGCAGCTAGCTTTACTGCTGCCGAGGCCCACAAGCCCACACTACTCATATGTAGCAGCTACTCTGCACACTTCTTCCACAACTCCACACCACAGGCAGGACAATCACACACCTAGAACACAAAGCGGAGACACCAGAGAAAACCACCCTCCAACATCCAGTTCATCCCCAGCTTATATGACCTCAGAGAGGCGATTGCTGACTGGGCCCAGGTGGTAAATGAGGCCAATGAGCAGCAGCTGTGTCCTGGGGAGAAGAGCAAGAGAGGAAGAGGAGGAGAGAAAACACCACACCCACACAAGGGCAGTTTCAGGAGGCCCAGCTAGGGCCGTAACAGATTGTGTTGTGTTTGTTGCTGTTTCTGCTGCCCTCTGAGACTGATCTTGAAAAAGACATTTGTAATGTAAATGAGACTTGCTCAAAAGTGCAGCTTCTATACCTTATGACAGGAATGTTCTTTCTTCTTCAAGAGGACTTTATATCATAAGTGTTTGACCAATTATATGCCAACAAGAAATTTACAACAGCTTAAATACAGGAAGCCACTTTTTGGCATACCGGATACTTTAGGTTTAAACACAATGAGTACCAACTAAAAAAAGTGCTGCAGAATGCTAAAAAGTTCAGGCAAAGTTAATATAAATGATAATAAAGACAATTTTTTCAGAAATATTATGAACAAACATAGCTGAGTATTGTAAAATGTTAAGTTGGCCGTTTGAACAAAGGAGATAAAATATTTTATTTATGGATCACCGACATGAAAGGTTATGGCAGCAAGCCCCAAACAGCAAAAGCTACAAACTTGACCAAAAGCTAAGGATCCATTTCTATTTTTTTTTAACACAAAATATAAAATGATTCTTGTGACTAGGCCTATCTTATTGATTCCACAAAGTAAGTAAGTTCTAAACGTCACTTAACCCATGTCAGAGCAACAAAGCCTCCAGAGATCAGAAAGTTTGAGCAGCATCGTTTGTTGGACCTATAAATATAATGAGTGCTCGACTTCTTGTGGAGCTCCAGGATGCTCTATAACGCCAGCGTCATCCTGTCGGTGGATTTCAACAGTCCGGAAGACTTCCTCATCTTCACCTTCCACATTGTTTTCGCCACGTGTGCCGTGCTTGTAGCCGGCTCGGTGATCATCGGGATCACCTCCACTCGATCTCTTCGAGCCCAGAACCGCTTCGTGTTCATGCTGAACACGAGCATCAGCGACACTCTGACCGGCTTCTCCGTCTACTATCTGGGGCTCTTTGACGTCCAAGAGGGCTATCCCTCGAGGAATGGGACATACTACATTTTGCCATCATTTTTAGGTGTCAATGTGTTAACCTTCCTCTTTGCTCAGTTTGACCGCTACTTTGCCGTTTGCCATCCGTTCTTTTACAGTCGCTACATAACGAGATCTGTTGTCATTGTA